ACCGGGATAAATGGTATTGCCCAGGGGCGGAAGATTTACAAGGGCTCCAACATCCCTCAGGGTGATGGACATTGGGCCAATGGGAAAAACAAAAGTATTATATTCTGAAGACCAAAAACTTAATGCAGTCGGAAAAAGCACCGGGTCATAGATTGGGGGATGAAGTGCAATTTCTAGCAAGTCTGAAATCCCAGCACGATCGAAAATCGCTTTGGTTGGGCCATGTTTTACTAAACATGCATGCCAAAAATGAAAAGTAGAATCAGATTTAGGCCAAGTACGAATACCTCGTTCCCGGATTGGCTTTAAAGGAAACGGATTCAGAAAAGGAGGATCTTGAGTACAAGGAAATAACTGACCCACCCCCGCTTTTTCGATAGATTCAATGTCTTTAAACGATGGATCTAGATAGAATTCATTGAGGTCTGGGTAGCTAATGAGAGAAAAGTTGAGTTTACATATGGCTTGGTAAGGAGGGTTTGGAAATCTTTGAAACTAAGGCTGTTATCATAAGAGGTTTGTGGAGTTGCCATTTGCAACAAAATATACTCTTGGTGAAGGTTCTTGAAAGGCGTAGTGGAGAAGCAAGACGATGAACAGTAACTTTTGTAGAACGCACGATGTGAAGACGTGAAAGTAATGGCGCGATAAAGTGGTGTGTCTTTTAGGTTTATGGGGTTTGTAACGTTGCACCTTTTTCAAATTATAAAAGGTTACAATCAAATGGAAATAATGATTGAAATTCTTAGGAATTTCAAATATTGTCGAAAAATACAAAGAAAAAATATGGCAAAGATTAATAATTAGTATTAATTCTACCATATTGGGGGGTAATTGTTGACATAAAAAAAGTGTAGCCCAAATCGAGTAGCCCAAGGGATAAGATCCAGTTAGAAAGTCCAGGATGAAAGCCCAAATAGGATCATTAATGAATGCAGTGGAGACCCACGAATAAGGTACCGTCATCGCCCAATCTTGCAAGATGCCCAAGATTTAAGCGAGTGGAGTACCTTAAAATCGCCTAGAGCGAACGAGCCTATTCTCTCCCAAACCTTCGAATTACCCAGGATCTTAGCAAACATGAGGTAATATGGTTATCCAGAGCGCAGTTATTGAAGCGATTATTGAGCAATCTTATCACAGCCCACGATCCAAGAATCACACTTGTAGGCGGTTGAACGATGAAAGTAATGGCAACGGTTAGAGACGGAAGTTCCACGACAAATCAGCCATCATGAAAAAAGTGGGTAGTTATAGAGCAAACAAGCAATTTCCAAACAGTTTGTCATGAAAAAAATACTCAAGGAAGTATAAAAAAAAGAGAAGACATAGAGAAGAGGAACCCGAATCAAACACTTTCAAACCGAGAATATGTAATTTCAATTTCTTAGATTAACTTTAATTATCCATTTTCAATACTTGTGTGCTTGCGCCCCTTGGAGGCATTCTATTTATTTCCAATTGTAACTTTTATCAATAAAATACCCCTTTTTGGGACTTTGTCTCAAGAGGTTTATAGCGACAATTCACGCTATACAACAAATTATAGAAATGATTTATGAATCGATGGTTTAACTTATGGTGGGTTTCAAAATTGTGTCGATATTTGAATTAAATTTTTCATTCATCAATTAATTTTTGTATCATGTATATCATTGCTTAGCATAAGCTAAAGACATATACTTAGTAGATCATCTATCTTTTTATTTACTATATAATATTCGTTGATTTGAAATCGCTGGGTTTTGTCAATTGGGACCCATCTAGTTTCTAATTTGAACTGAACCAACCTATTAAAAATATTTGTATGGAATCTGTGTATGGAATCCAATTTATTTCATGTGCTGACTATGTGTGTATATACGATCCATGAAATGCATATATGTATATATAAATATGTCCACATGAGTGTTATATATGTGTATTCTGTATGTGTACATATGTACGTGCATGCGTGTATACAATGTGTGTGTATATACACACACATGTTAATATACATGTTAATATGCATATTTGTCTATTATTCACAAAAATAAAGTTTCTTTTAATTGATAGAACAATAAATTATTGCTTTAAACAACTTTTGAACCAGCTAGCACTTATTTGAATTAATGATGTCTTTTAACAGTGGATTTCAGAACATTAACACTTTGTTTTCAAGTAAGGTTTTATAGTGACACTATTAAATAAATTAATTTAATAGAGAAATGTTATGGGTTCGTAATTAAAGAGCGGCTTTTGTCAAAATTTCTAAATAAATGGTAATGAATTAAGATTTTGCACATTGCCTTGGGCGACTAGAGACATCTCCAATTGCTATTATAAAAGTTTATTTCTACAAATTTCAATTAAGTAAACCTCCCCTATCTTATATGTACTTTACATCATTAAATGTGTAACCCAAATTTGTTATTGTGTTACATAAATTGGCCTTATGTGAAGATGATATTTGATTATTACATTTTAGGTCATTAATGATTCTCTTGACATAATCATGAACGTCGATGCATCCATAAGCATGCATAAAGTTTCAAATGTCAATGAGTCAATGAATATTTAAAAAGATATGTATCTTGAATGATTTTATTGCAAGGTGTATGTTTATGTAGCACCCGACCAATGTTCAATGTTAATATTAACATTAACTGTTTTATGGTACTACCGATAGAATCGATATGGTTCCAAATAATAATTATCCACTGCATTCTAATTGGCTAAGCGATACATCAAGAAAGCTCGCGATATTAATTTTATGTTTTTATAGAAATGAAAGAAAAGGGGAAACATAAAAAAAAAAAAAAAACGCTTTTTATTTTAAAATAATTCATATGCATATCATAAGCATATATCATATGCATGAGGTTTGCTTACTGAGTGTCAGCTCATCCCAGGTTATCCCTTCTCATTTTCAAATAATAAGTGCAAGATGATTTGAGATGACGACTTGTGGTGACACAGACTCAGTATTATCATATTTAAATATTGAATTTGTTTTTGTAATTAAAGTTAACATTCGATTTAATTGTTCTATATGTTATTAAACTCAAATTATTTTAAAATAATTAGTCAATGATATTTATTATGTCAAAGAAAAAATTAATCATTTCTTGCTTTTATGATTTGAAGAGAGTTAAATGATAGTATCTTCAAATTTGGGTATCTAAATTTTGGGGGTGGAAACAATAGTTAGAAATCAAATCGAAAGGCAAAAAATAGTTGGTTCAAAAAATAATATGGTTAAGTTCGAATTTTTTTAAAACTGTTTAAATAGCTTGATTTGAAAATAAATTGAAAATAGTTCAAATGGAACCATGTTCAACTCTATTTAGTAATATTGATATCGCCAACAAAATACAAAAAGAAAAGTAAAATAACCATATCAATATCCAACTTATACCGAACAACCCATAGTTCTAACACCAGCCACTTCAGCTCTCAAGTCAACACAGTTTAGTGTGGACGACTTGCCATGTACTTAGTATCAGCAAAACTCCTGGGCCAACTGTCATGTCTCCTCGTCGACATTGCCCGGCAACAAACCTTAGTGGGTGATCACTTATCTATGCCCCAACTGTCACAACTTAGGCCTAGTTGCCTCAGCATGGTTGACTCAGATTTTTGGGGACTTAAATAAGTTGTAAATTTGTAATAGCAATAAGCATGTTTGGCAGAGCTTAAAGTTGAAGAGTAAGTTTAATTTTGAGACCAAAATTGAATTAAGTCCGCACATGTGTAACTCAGAGCGTACAAATATGCTATCTAAGCGATACTTATTATCACCTCAAAAAATGGAGGAACCCACAACTTAAAAATTGTGGGCTTATTTGCCAAACATGCTCAGTGCGGTCGACTCAGATTTTTTAGGAAGAGATGGGTTGCAGTGACAGTGTATGGCCATGACAATCATTTTAGAAACATGGCTGCTTGTATTTTGTTGCAAAAAAGTATGATAAACATCGGTACCACTGGAATCTAATTCCTATAAACATTTAGCAATGTTTGTTTCAGTTATAAAAAATGATTAAAATCTAAATCAAATTCAACAATTAATTTAAAAATGATATTTACTACCACTAATGCTATAATACCAATCTAGGTGGTGTTATATAATAGGCTTAATAAAAGGTGTAATTACGTGACTCATTTAATTGTACCTCTCATTAAATGCCACTTCAATATACGTAGACCAGGGTTTTAGCACTAGTGTGCTAAATAACGTACTCAAATAAAAAAAGGCTTAGTCAAGGACAATAACTTCAGATGTGAGATGAAACCGACCCAAAATTCTGTCCTTTCTTCTATGCAAAAACAATAAATCACCATCTGACTTTGCCATTTAGTACTTTCGACCACCAATATGGAATACAAAAATTCAAACATGCTGCATTTTACTTGGAATGATCAAACTGTGGAAACGAATATAAAAGGCTACCAATTTCTTTGACCAGATCTTCCAATATTTTCACAAGTATAGTTCTCTGTGCCCATTACTAGAAAGTAAAAGGCTTTTCTAGACAAATAGCACATCCAACTTGGCCTCCTGTCCTCTCATTCAAGCTTTACACCATTCATCTCCACTTGATTTTCTAGTCGAAAATAGCAGAATGAGAAAACCTTTATTTTCTATTCATCTCGTCCTCACCTTAACACCACTTCTATCAATCATTCATGACAGGTAAAGATTCAAGCAACTGCACATTTAACACATCTTGCTAGTACAACAATCCATGATCCAAATCAGGCATGAATACATCGGCATGCCTATGTACACTGTTGCAGGCAGCATTATACCAGATGATAAATTGTTTACAGATGTATATCCTTTAGGCATGACAAGGAAAAATTGGTGGAGTTACTGCTATGATGTTGTATATGTACATAAACACAACTAGCCAAATACGAGATAATAGAACTAGTTGCTATAAATTACTCGAGGGGTTCAACTAATTGACATATACAAGGGGAGAATCCTTCCCCTAGTTTAGAGTCTGCATTACTTTTCAGGCCTCCAGAGCAGAGCCATCAAAATCAGAGGAAGAAGCAGAAAATGAGGGAAGCCAAAGCTCGACTCGTGTCCCACCTGCTCCGAAGGCAGCATCTGTGTTTCTTGGAGACATAACACGGACAACGCATCCATAATTTTCGAGAATCTCCCGAGCAACAGCCAGTCCAGCAATGAAGTTCCAAGTCGTGTTGTCTTCAATCATATCTTTACCGAATAGATCTGTCCCAAATGGTACAAGGGAATGCATCTGCGTCTGCGAGTTGGGGAAAATTTCACATGAAACAACAGCATAGGCCAAGAAATGCAATGCAGGAACAAGCAAAAAACTATTGTTTCTCATTGAGAAAATTCAGTACCAAATTGGTCCCCCAATCTTTCATCTTAGTTGTAGAATCAGCTCCCAAGTGAGGGGAACAATCTAAATCTATCATCACGTGACACCCTCATATCCAGCTTTATAAAGCTATATTCTGTTTCCTAAATTGGACTCATGCCGAAAAATTTGAAGTGAGACGAGTTTCCACAAGGGCAACGACAATTTAACGAAGATGTGGTAGTTTCCATTATTAGAGACTGATCGTGCAACTATAACAAGGTTTCAGGCCAATTTCCTTGATGATTGTGCAAAGGCCCCACTGTGTTTTCCTCCATAGGGGCAAGAGAAAAGAAGTCAGATTGCAAGGTCTCTGTAGCCACAAAAGGTGCACTTCAACTCAAGCAGAAAATTTACAACTATAATATGTACGTGAGCAGAAGTAAATACTATATTTAGAAGCATCAAAGTTATAGATAATACCACATGAACGAATGTCTTCATATTTGTTATAACGTATAGATAGCACCAAGATTCACGTCAATAAATTTGGCTATGAAGCAAAACTGTACCATATAGTGCATGTCAGGCCCATCATCATCGATGATGATTAGAGCACCACCCGCTGGTGCTCCAGTGGACACTATCTCAACTTTTCCACCAACTTCTGTACGCAACAATGCACCCTCAATCAAATTGCTCAAAGCTTGCCGCAAAGCAGGTTCTTCAACAGCAGCCACCAAAGAACTTGAAAGTTCACATAGTTTCACAGCTCGTTGCTGGTTATGAGCAAGTGGCTCTATGGCCCGAACCAAATCCTCCAGTACTTCAGTAACATTGCAGGGTCTTCTCATGCAAATGGTATAAAATCAGGAATAATTATATGAATTATCTTAAAAGTATGAAATGCTAGCACACAAAGAGGGAAAGAAGGTCTTGGCAGAAAGTTTTATTTCATCCGGCTCAAGTAGGTACGCCAAATAAAGAAAAGAGTTCTCGTTTTCAAATTCCATGAAAAAAAATTGACCAGGAAAAACCCATACTAACCAAGCATCTTGGAATGGCAGATAAGCAAGCACAATTTTTTTCGATGCTGATCAAGAACATGTCGAGAAGTTCAGGAGTTCAGGATTTTTTACAAAGTTAAAATAGCCTGTAAAATTCCGAAAGAGATTCCCAAAATGCTACAAAGTAGGTTGATCTTGCAAATCCTAGGAATATGTCTGTATTACAATTTTTGTTGGATGAATTTTTCTTGCGCAAAGAACATACAAATTCTAGTTAAGTGGTTTACGTTCTCTTAGTTATTTGGCTGACCTTTCTAATTCCCATTCAAGATTTCTCTTTCCATGTTTATAGAGAAATATTTTTTATTTTCAGAGAAAACGATGTATCCCATATAAATCTATGGGATATCCCAGCCAGCCCTCATAAAATATCCAACATCATCAATTTGCAGTAAACATAAACTTCAAGCTTTTTAAATAAGCATATACAAGTACAAATACATTACTTACCTGAAAAAGTAAGCATTACTAATATTTAAATTTAAAAAGCACTCCATGAGGCATGATATTTTTGTACATAATGGTACCTGATTCCCTGTTGATATGAAGGTGCCAGAGCAAGAGGTGGCATGGGAAATTCCAAATCCCTCGACGGTGAACTAATAGAAAAATGGCGACTAGATTCTTGCATTGCACTGATTGAAATTTCAGCTGAAGAGTTATTAGATAATTGTGAATTCGTCGAATCATGTAGTGGACCAGCTGACTGGTGCATCGTCTTTAATGCTTCACTGTTATAGCGCATCATATTAGCCTAAAAAGAAAAAGCAAGCCAGTCAGACAAACTGTTAGCCGATGGTCAATCTCAAGAAAACTGAAAGGCATTAGAAAATCAAATAAAATGTGAATCACTAGAGAAATAACTTAAATGTAAGGCCAGAGGAACTCCTGGAATTTGTTTACCTCTCACTGAACCATTCAAATTTAAAATTGATCACAATAATTCAAGTGATAGGAAATAATTAAGAGATCAATTATTAAAGATTTGTGCTGGGACAATCTGAAAAAAAGATTTCATGGGAAGCAACTAAGCATACATGTTTAGGACAACATTTAAATGATAAACATGAAGCCTCTCTAACCTCTTAAACTTTCAAATTAAGTGATTCAACATGGTATTAGTGTAACGACCCGACCTCTATATCTCTGCCTAAGAGGTCTTGGGTTCAGATCCTAGGGGACGCGATAGAAATTCGTGAGGGGTTAAGTGGGCAGATGCCCACCCAAAGAGGACAGTATGTATGATATAATAGATTGAGCATAGAGGCCGGGTCGTTACAAAGCCTAAGCCGTTATATCATACGTACTGTTCGCTTTGGGTGGGCATCTTCCCACTGAACCTCTCATGGATTTCTATGGCGTTCCCCAGGATTCGTCCAATTGGTATCAAGATTCCCCTTAAGTCTCTCATTAGGCAGAGGTCTTGAATTCGAATCCTGGGGGGACGCGATAGAAAGACGTGAGGGGATAAGTGGACATACCCAAAGTGGACAGTACGTAAGCTAACGACTTAGGTATAGAGACCCAGGTCGTTACAATTGGAGCATGCAAAGGTCATGAATTCAAGTCTCACTGCCATTAATTTAATTAAATTTGTGCATGTGTCACACTTTGATGGAAAACATAAACATGGAGGGAAATGCTAAAGACAAAAATTTAAATGATATACATTTGACTCTCTCTCTAACATTAGCTTTTACATCAAATGGTTCAATATACATGTGACAGGCTTTGATAGAAGAAAAATGAATCCCGTCTATAATTAAGGTGGCAGGTTGAAGACAATTTAAATGATATACATGTAACCCTCTTTAACAATACAACTTCTTAGAACAAGTGGTTCAACACATGTATATTGATGTGTTGCCAACATCCATAAAAAAACATATGGTCTGTATTTCATATCCATGCATATCACAGAATAACAGAGAAGCTAAGATGTATCAGGAAGTGACAAACAGAATATACGTTATACATTTTTTCTTCTTGGTAGAAACAGTACCTTTGTCAAGTGCACAGCATCCTGTAATTGTTGTAGAGTATCTCTCATGTGATCACCTTGCACTAAAATGTCTTCGACAATATCATATGAAATCTGCAAATCTTAAATTCATGTTTTGATCAGGAAAGAAAGAATAATTTTCAGAAGTATCAAAAGTAAGTTTAGCAGGAATGTTCCAAGTTGTAGAGGCACAAACCTCGCTTCTACTGGTGTGAACACGTAGCAATTTACTCAAAGTTTGAATGCTTAAAAGAGAACCTCGAATCTGCAAATTCAAAGATAGAGAGTAATCATAAATGTCCAAATCATATGGCAGCGAAATCCAACAGCATCCCATCATCTTACTTGCTCAACCAAATTATTCATCCTGACATTATTTTGCCACGATGATTGCTGAAGTAGCAATGCTTTCTGTAGAGGAATACAATGCAGTTAATACTTATATAGAAAGCTGCCATACTCACAAATAAATTTCCAACATTAAAAAAATAGAAAAAAGAAAAAATCAGAAAAGGCACGTTGAGAAATGACTTCTTTCTGCAAAAAAAAGATGAGATATTTGTGCTATTATAAAGCGAGACAAAGAATTATAACTCCAGCAAAATCTCAGTAAGACTATGGATGCATATTTGTATATATAATCTACCTGATCCATGACATATGCCATAGCAAGCGAACTAGTGATATTAATGGCATTTCGTTGTTGATCTCTTGTAAACTTCGATATCTCAAAAGAGTGATCCCCGAAAGTTTGGATGTCCAACGATTGTGAACCCACACTGTGAGGCAATGCAAAAGATTGCCCAGGGACTGAGCTTTCTTTCACAGGAAGCAATTCTCTTTTTTGAGCCATCTCTGGGAGCTCGGCGACTAAGAAACCCACGACAAATGGATGTTTGACCATAGGGAAAACTACAGCACCAAGCTCAGGAAAAAGTTCTGCCTAGAAATGAAAGTGTCATCTATTGGAAATCCAGTAACAGAAACAGAAGTCCAAAGGAATGGCTAATAAACAAATCCAATAACTAATCACCGTGCCTGTTTACTTGAAATTGCAGCTTCTGCAACTCTTAACCCAGCTGGAATACTAAAGTTACCAATCAGAACCACGATATCATCCACATTAACACCAGGATAGAAAGTAATGCGACGCAACTCCAACCTGTCCATAACATAGCTGCCAGCTGGTCTGACATAAACCTGTGGATTACATAATTAGTGCTGATAAAAATACTGAATACACCAAAGAAAATCCATATGCAGTTAATCAGACAAACCCACCTACAAACTTCATTACAGGTCTTATATGACACAAACAGAAAACCTAGTCCCTACCCAACATTGAGATGCATATAACTACTAAACCACTCGCATATATGCAAGAATTCCTCGTTTAAAATTAAACTCCTACATAAAATGCAGTTTGGCACAGAAAATTAGTCTCATCAAACTGACAATAAAATAGAGTCTGAGAAGTACCGATTCATTTTTCAGAAACAAAATTCTATAAAACTCAACTACGTGTACTAGGCTCAGAGGACTGAGTAATAGGGTGTTCAACAAAACTAAACTTCTATGTCATTAATCAAACTAGGGTAATACAATTATATAATGGTATTCATATTCGCTCAAGTTGAATCAAGTATGTTGACATCAAGTATGTCTATCTTAACCTACTCAAAACAGAAAATAAAATAAAAGCCGATCCAAGAACAGCAACAGCATACACCATAATTCTTATCCAAAATTTTCTGCTCTTCTCATTTCGCAAAATCTAGAACGAAAATCAAGCTATCAAGCACTAGACTAATCTCCAAAGTCACTTTAGTAGAAACATTCATTATGCTGAAACTGCACAAAATTGTCACTCAACCATCATAATGTCACCATTTCCATCACAAAAATTAGCATAAATAACAGCAGAAATATTATACCCATACTACATAATAGTTAAGGATAAAACTCCACAACAAGCTCAAGCTAGACCATTTAAGATTGAACTCCAATACTTAATATTGTATCAGACTGCAAGAAGCTTGTTTGAACAATTTGATCCAACCAAAGCTCATACTAACAATCAAATTCCAAGATTAATGTTCCCAAACGAGCATCATTGAAATATAAAGCTATTAAGATGACAATGTTGGAAAAAATTCAAAATAAAATGAATTGTGAATGAAGAATTGCAACAAGAAGCTTTTGATTTCAAATTTCAATTCTCTAGTTAATTTTGTATTGAATTGGTGGTTACAAAATTCTTGATGGCTATTGTAACATTTTGGTTTTAATACAAAATTAACAAGAATTGAAACCTCCCTTATCCTAGTGCTATATAACGAGATGTTCTCCTCCTTATTCCACACACCAAATTTTTTTGAAAGCTCTCTCCTCTCTCTTCGCTTTTGAGAGTTTTTCTTTGAAACTTTGATAATTATTTTCTAACTCGGTGATAGAATTGTGAGTGAATAATTCGCCTAAAGTAGTGACAAGGTACTATTCAACTACTTTCAATCGTTGTATCATGAAAGAGGGGCGTCATCAGTCCTCTTGCACCAAGGGACGAACCTGTTTTAAGGAAATTTTATGTAACACAAACCTCGATTCTTTCCAATACTGCTACTGTTGGGAAAATATTTACTTTACCATGTGAGCCAACATATGTAATTAATTGTGTAAAAGACTACCTTAAAGTTAAGCCCAAAATAAAGTAATATAATAATTAATTAAGTAATCGGGCTTTGGGTATCTAAATAAAGTGTGATCCAAATTATGTGTAGAGATCAGATCCATTAGGGTTGTATTTAATGATGGATCAAATACATATGGAAATTATATATAGAGTTATAGTTCCCAATTCATATGCAACTTTTCATTCTTCGTGCCTCCCATCAACACAAGAATAATTAAGAAAAAGCATATTGAAGAGGAAAATCCAATACACACAATCATGATCTTAACCCGTAATCAACTATCAAGAATCAAGAAGAAAGAATTCAAGAATCAAGACTACGGATCAAGAAGCAAAAACAAGAACAAGAATTAAAGTATAAAAGAAGGCAAAATTCAAGATTAAAAGTGAAGAAGCCAAATATGAAAAGATTGCAGTTCAAACTTCAAGATCCATTAATAAGGAATTGTTTCCAATGAATTAAGGTATGTTCTGCTTCAAATAATTTTCTTGATGATTTAACATGGAGGATCTTGGCAATAAAGAAATTTAGGTTTTCAAATTATAGAGTTCTTGAGATTGAAGTTTTAATAAAATTCTAACATGTGGTATCAGAGCCAACTCCATGTCAAATCATTGAGAATAAAGAAGCATTTTTAGGGTTGAAATTTATATTTTTGGTTTTCTAAAATTTATGATGTGAATTTTTAGCCCTAAATTTCAATATTTTGGATTTTTTGGAAATATTTCGGCATTACAACAACGTCGTAGTGCCGCAACGCCGTGTTTGGGCTTTGCTGCACTGCCTTTTAGTAAAATAGGTAGCCAGTAGCGCCGCAACGCTTGTTGCTGCTGAGCGTGCCGTGCTGTAGCGCAAGTTCTGAGCGTTGCAATACCTAGGTTCTGTTCAGATTTAATTTAAGTTTTTTTCCTTTTGGCAACAAAAGAGAAAAACACAATATAAAGTGACAATGAATTTCAAAATTTAGTACTTGTTTATTTCGAATTACTAATTTTCTAAAATAGATTAATTGAAGTAACATGTTACCAAAAGTAACATCTCCTGCCTAAATTAATTTATTTGGAATATTATGATTGTTGTATGTATATAATTCGTGCGGATATGCACCGGCCTAAAGGAAGTTAAATATTTGGTAGAATTACACGAGCAACTGTGGTAATAAATATGTGACAATTATAAAGTTTTGTTTTATGTGAACAATAAATCGGTCCAAAGATTTATTATTTGACATAATTTATTATCAATATTTGATTATTATACCAGAGTACCACTTACAAGTTGGTATTACTATCCAAAAACTAAATATATTGTGCTCAGTCTCCCGTGACGAGGTCCACCATTATTTGAAATTATTAATTGCTTAATGCGGATTCCCATGTGAACATGCTATTTACGTTTAAGTTCTCTATTCGGTTGATCTATCAACTTCTGCAATATTTGCCAACATCATTCGATTCCTTTGCTTGAACCAAAGTTTAAGGGCTGGAAAGAGAACATTTGTATCGTTCTTGATGACGTGAATCTAGACTTTGCGTTAAGGACTCAACAACCCACTACTCTTACGGATAAGAGTTCTGCTAATAAAAAGGGACTCGAATAAGTAAAATCCTTCAAATCACATAAGTCTTATGATCATGAAACGTGAAATTCTAGTAACATTCAGGGATGATGTGTCCAATAAGGTAAGCCAAAGAATTCCTTAAAGATATTCCAAAAACGCTTTGCAAAAAAACGATAAGGTCGAAACTAGTAAGCTTCTAACAAACTTGATTTCACTAAAATATAAAGCTAAATATATCATATGGTAGTACATCATTGAGATGTCTCATCTTGTTTCAAAACTAAATGCATTAAAGCTTGAGCTGTTTGATGACTTGCTCGTGCATTTGGTTTTGATTTCTCTTTTTGCACAATTTGATTAAGGACAATTATGACTGTCAAAAGGGAGAAGTGGTCTCTTAATGAGCTCATTTCATATTGTGCAAGAAGAAGTAAGTCTGAAGCACGAAAGAATGGAGGTACTCACTTGACAAGTATCTCTAAGGACAAGTTAAAGGACAAGGAAGATGCATTTAGTTAAACTCAAAAGAAATAGCAAAAGCCTGAAAAAAGATAAATCATCTTGCTGTCACTTTTATGAAAACCTAGAACACATAGAGAGATTGTACTAAATACCACGCTTGGCGTGTAAAGAAAAGTATACTTCTCACTTTGATTTAGTTTTTAGGTTAATTTAGTTTAAATACCAAAACATATTTGGTGGATAAATTCTTATGCCACTACTCACATAAGTGTATCTATGTCGGGTTGCCTGAATAATCAAAAGCTGACTGATGCTGAAAGATTCATCTATGTGGAGCGAAGGCAAATCAGTTAAAGTTGAAGCTATAGGAATTCTTAGGTTATCATTAAAGACCGGTTATTATTTGGATTTGAAAAAGACAATTGCGATACCGTCTTTTAGACAAAATTTGATTTCTGTTTCTACATTATACAAATTTGATTACTTTTGTTCAATTGGAAATAATCAATTTAGTCTTTTTCTTAATTCATATATTGTCGGTACAATTCTTTATTTGGTTATGATAACCTATATTTACTTAATACGATTATTTCCTATAAAGAAACCTTGCATGTGAATTCATGTGATATTAAACATAAATTAACCAATGAGAATTCTGCTTCGTTATGGCACAAACAATTAGGTTACATTTCTCAAAAGAGAATGAAAAATCTTATGCTAGAAGGAATTCTTGATCCCCTTAATTTTTCAGATTTAAGTGTTTATGTTAATTACATTAAGGGAAAACAAACAAACATAAGGACATTAGATGTCATAGGACTTCGGACATCTTATAACTAATTTATACGGATATATGTGTGCCATTTCCTTGGCTTTTTTAAATTGTTAACAGTAATTTATTCATAGACGAATTTATCTCACTATGGTTGCTTATATTTCATTTATAAGAAATCTCAAACACTGGACATGTTATCAAGACTGAGGTCGAAAATCAGCTCAGCAATAGAAAAAAATGTCAGATTTGGACGTAGTCATGAATACTATGGCATATATGACGGATTAAGAGAACAATGTCCAGGGCCTTTTGTTAAAATTTCTAGAGGAACGTGGAATCATCCAACAATACACCATGCTAGGGTCCCCTATCATGAATGGTGTTACTGAAAGACGAAACTAGACACTTAAGGTCATTCTAAGGAGTATGATTAGTCATTTCACCTTACCAGAATCTCTCTAAGAATAAACACTAAAGACTACAGCTTAAATTCTCAATAGAGTTCAAAATAAAACAATTGTTAAGGGGTTATAAATTTTTTAAAGATCCCAGGGTAATTGGCGCAGAACGTCCCTACCTTTCACATTCTTTGTGTTGAAGGTCATTTTCATCAATTTTTAACATAAAATGACCAATATACCTTCATATATAAATAAAATAAAAAAGAAAAGAAAAGAAAAATAAATTGCAATCTGCTCCTAAACTTTTTTAA